ATGGTATAGTATTTAAATATATGCCTGAGAAACACATAATGTTGGCCCTTTAACTGCCGTGCATATCACAAGAAAACCTGCATAAACGGCAATAAACGGTCGGCTCAAAAGTTTGCATTTATGAGGTTTGTCAGTCAGACAGAAGCTTGAAGTTTTTAACCAATCAAATGGAGCTCTTCATATTTTTAAAAAGAAATTCATACTGGAATGGAAACGAGTAGTTTTTCTGTTTTGTTTTTTGACAAACACTACATAAATTTATTTATATATTTGTTCATTTATTGCAAGTCATATCGTCATCGCAATATAAAGCACTTGTTATTGCACCTCACAAGTTTTCCTAATACTGTGCAGCCTTAGTCAAAATGGACTTTCAATCTAGATTTTCTTCTAGGTTTCCTGTTTAGGGAACTGAAAAAACAAAATGTTTCAGCGACCGAGACTTGGTTKAAAAGTGGAATAAATAAATTTGTGAGCTAAAGTTTTGCACCATTCTTAACCACTCMATGAGCAGTTAAGTCAGGCTCTCCATTTCCACTTTTTTTGAAACACTGATGTAAAATTTATTATATTTTTATAAAAACAATAATCTTTTAGTTTCTAGAAGACCAAGTTGCCATGTAAAAAGTAGTTTCTTCTCTCCTCACCAGCAGGTCCAAGTAGGTCACGTGTGTCTGGATGTTGTGTCTGTCGTCAGATTTGACTTTGGAGAAGTTCTTGAGCTGAGGTTTGGCTTCAGAGCTCAGCGTCTCCATGAAGGGACTCATCCACTGATAACAAGGAAACACGCTCTCCCAAGTCAGGCCTGGAGAAGAAAAACCCAGGAAAAATACGAGTCAGTTTGAGGTTATCGGCTTTTCGACTAAATATAAAAAGAAAGAAGGACTAAATCAGGCGCTGAAGGTGAAGAACGTACCTGAGACTTTATGAACGATGTCAAACGTAGAGAAGTGGCAGAAGGCAGCAGCTGCGAGGACACTGTAGCTGTAGTCCAACGAGCAGATGTCCATCATACACAAATCTAACAGCTGGGAAAAGACAAAACAGATCAGCTAAAAATGAAATCCTCGAACGACCCAAACATTGGAGTTTTTGGACCCACAGTGGGGTCTTAACCCCAATTTTCTATAGATGAAACCTTAAAGTTCCTGTGACATCAATGTTTTGATAGAAAAGTGAATGCACTTTTGGAAAGACAACATTAACATATTACAAAAAAAAAGTCACGTTGCTCAGACGGACAGTTGAGATATTTGCATGTGAAATAACAGGAAGTGATGTCAAAGGAGAACGTCTGCACGTGAATATTAAAATATACTTTTTACCAATTATTTTAATATTTTAGGTGAATTCCAATCATCCTACGTACAATGTGTTAACATTTTTAAGACTTCTGAAAGATTGATTTAAGACATTTTAAGGTTAATTAAAGCCTTATTTTTGTTTTGATGAATTCAATGACTTTTAAAGACTTTTTAAGGATCTGCAGGAAACCTGTTTCCATCACTGCTCAGACTGGAGCTTTAACGTGACAAAGAACCATATATTTCAGCTCCGTCGGGGTACCTGGGTAATCTGGATGTACGTTTCCTGACAGAACTGAGGCTCCAGGAAGTTTTCTCCGTCTTTCTGGGCTTCCACTTGCGAGTACAGCTTCAACCAGGAGATGGGCGTCTCGGGACACAAGTTCCAGTCCAACGCCTGCAGGTGAGAACGACCACGTCAAGACCGAAGTGCAGGGAAACAGAAGAAACTTGGGCTAAACGATGAGGAGAACAAGCTGGTGYACCTTTAATATCTGAAGCTCGATGCGCTGGATGTCCCACATGTCACACGCTCCGTCCGTGACGTAGGCAAACTCGTAGATTTTAGGGGGATAAATTTCCTTGAAGAGGTAAAAAAGGGGAAAATCAAACTGAGCAGAACTCCACGAATGATGACACAAAAAACAGAATCTGCTTATTTTAAAGTTAATTGCACATTTTAAAATAAATTTTTTAAAAAAAGGTAAAACTCACTTCTATTTTGGAGGCGATGAAGAGCGCGGTGATGCCGATGAGCTGCAGGTGATCCTTGCTGACGTCCTCCTGAGTCAGCATGAAGCGGTCGAAGTAGTCCTGGGCCAGGTACGCCGTTTGTCTGTGGAGGCTGTACACCTCGCTCACCTGCGCAAAAGATGCAAACATTAAATTCAGCGCCAAACGGCTCTTAACGCACCCAAATACATGACAACATGTCCAGGCCCGGTTCAATAAACCCACCTCCAGGAGCCAGTCCAACAGGATGGCCCTCATTTTGGGCTGCAGTTTGGGGTGCCGCGTCAGGTAGCTCTTATCATGAACGTACTTCAGCTCCTTGTTGAGCATCTTTATCCACACGTCATCTGAACTCGCCCAGCTGCAAAACAAAAACAAACAAAAAAAACTTTTAACTTGGTTCAAAACGGCCAAAATTCAAACACTTAAGTCATTTTATTTGTTTGGATCATTGTGCAATTTTAGCCCAGTGATTAAAAGACAATAGTCGATAACTTTGTCACAGATTAGACACATGATCAACTCACACATTTAAATTTATTTAAGGGCTGAATTCAAAGTCAACAAGTCCAGATGGGCGGAGTGTCAGATGGCCAACAAAGGGGAACGACTCGGGCCGAGATAGGCTCATTGAGGTGGAAATACCTGAGGCGAGGAATCGGCGAGGCCTTGATGAAAAGGTTCTTGAATCTGTACTGTTTGAAACTGGATGAGTCAGAGGGCTCCAGCTCTTTGTGGGGAGTTTCAATGAGAACGCAKGGACTCGGGCCCGTCTCCAACCAGCACTTCTGGAAAAACAGAAACACGCCCAACTTGAAATGGGAGTCTCACAGAAGAGGAAAAACATGTCAGGTTTACTGATCTGACAATGATAGGAAAAATATGTAGTAGTATTAAATACATTTGAAGTTTCATACAAATATTTTAAGCTTTTGTGTTTTCTACATTTTTATTTTAAAGCTAATGATTGTAAGCGTAAAGTCTCCCCTGAATTACTTTTCCTTGTTTTCTTAGATTTCCTCATGGCATCTTCTGCTTTAAACATTTAAAGTACAGAAATGTTTGAAAAAAGTACCCTTAAAGGTGCAGTTTCTAATTCAGATAAACAGTGACACCTTGTGTTAAAAAGAAAGTACTGCAGGCCCATTCACATTACTACACAAGTTCCTGCATGCAGCTTGACACTGACTACATGAAAAAAAATCTAAACWAAAAACTAAAAAARGCAGGTTAGTTGCTTTACTGCTACTTATAAGTTAAAGAAAGTTTTTTTTTACACTGAGTTTATAAGCAGAAGGGTGGACCACCCAAACTACTGATTATAAACTAATAAACTATTGTGTGTGTTTGTAACTGATAAGACGTCTGCTCTGAACGTGTTAAGGCTGAGGATGTCTGGAAACACTTTACCTGTATTTCATAGTTTTGTTTCTTGTCAGCAGGTTGTAGCTTTTTCTTAGAAGGCTGAAAAATAAACGATTCAATCAATGTTAAAAAACAAACAAACAAAAATGTGTTAAAGAGCCAATTAGATTATAGCAAAACAAAAATCTACACACACCTCTAACTTTCTTTTCTTCAGTGGGGGTCTGGCTGCTGGTTCAGGCGTATTTGAGTCTCTGGCTTGAAGAGTCACGCGAAGACTGAAATACAAATAAATCAATCTTTAACTCATTTATGAAAAAAAAAATTAAACATAGGAAACATTCAGACATTCAGAGCTGGACCACAATTGAAATTTCTTATTTATTTGACTTACTTTTTTTTTGACGCAACAGAAAATGTCTTTTAGTAGTTTTTAAGCTCCCGCATTAAGTGCAATACAGACACTGAATATTAGATTAGATATTCTTGTACGACTGCATCACTTTTCATGCCAGAGTTTCAGACTAAACTCTGATGCTGAGACATGATGAAGCGGCTCTAATGTTACCATGTGCAAGAACGTGTAAAATAATGAGATGTCAAGCTCAGAGTATGTGTTGGGAATAACTCAGCTACTATTACACTACATTTTAGCTCAATTTCTGTTCAAGTAACTGAGTTACAGCCTCCTTCTGTTTGCTAATATTGATTAGCCGTGGCGGACATCTTGGATTATATCAACTCCAAAATGTAAAATCGGTTTAAGATGTACGCCCAACAAATATTACACGAGTTAAATTGAAAATCCATCCAGATATTTGATATTTCGCTAACAAGGTTAATTCCAATCGCTAATGGTAAAATTTGAAGCAAAGATCTGGAGAAATATGAGCTACAATCACCCCTAAATCATTGCTTTTTTCATGTCTTCTAAGGTTAGTTTACTGTGGTGGCCATCTTGAATTTTTTTTTTTGGCTCCAAATGTTAACCAGTCATAGAGGCACACATGAGAAGTATTTCCTGAAAAGCTTCATTAAAATTCATCCAATGGGTCAGGAGACATTTTGGAAACGGACAAACTCGAGTAAAAGCGCGATCTGCTTTTGCCTTTTGGTGGCGATTAATAACGTCCAGTAGAGTGTTATATAATAATCCCCTGTCCCATCCTGAGCTCAAAACTTTATTTACTGTAAGAAACAGGACAAATTAAAGCCATGGAGCCACGCTTACCTGCGTCTGGACATGTTGCCAACTTTAATTATAGCCCCCTGCAAAAAAAAAAGCAAAGAAAACAAGTGATTAGATTTACAAACCTTTAAAACATTAACAACAAAAACACAATAGAGAATATGTGAGCTTATATTAATATCTTGAGCTAATATTAAAACCTAAGATCAAACTAGATATTACATAGAAGTTACTGATGATATCATGTGGCTCAAAATGGCAAAAAAAAAAAAAAAGACTGGAATAAAGTTAAAAAGAACCCAGCTTTGTACTGGTGAGTCCTGATGAAGCCATGAGGGATTTTTGATGGTTTCAGATCTAAAACTGCCTCATCTACAGCTTTAATCTGAAGCTCCTTTATAAMCTGAGACTAGTTCATGATGACATTATGAAGCATTAGCTCGCCACCACCATTACAGGGACCAAAAAAAAACCACCTGAGAAAACAACAGTAAGCTCTAAACTTGAGCCGAACGACCGCATGTGAACATTATTCAAGTCATCAGCTCATAATGGCGAGGTTAAAAAGAGTTTAAAGCTAATTACACAGAGTCCAAACTAGCCAGCCAAGTTCTGTAAGCTAGTATGGTGGCAGCTGCTGTCAACGAGGGAGAAAAGGGGGGCAGCGAACTCGCTCGATTTCAGACAAAAAAAAGTTCAAAAATACAACAAATTAACTCGAGTTTCACGACTTGAACGACGAGGCACACGTCTATACCTACCTTCGGCGTGGTTTTCGGGGTTAAAAGTTGTAAATTCCGAGCTTTTATCGAGGATTGAAACTCAAAGGCGCGCCAATTTCCACAACGCAAAAGCGGGAGGATTTGAGCCCAGCCTCTCAGCCTGCCCCGAGGTTCTGCGAGGGAAAACCAGTAAACAGGACCTCCAACATGAGCCATGTTTACTTTAAACCGATACCAACCGGTCAAATATACTGCCATACCGCWCATACCTGGGTAGGAACCGATTCAAAGCCCGCTGGGCGCCAATAAAGTCGGCTAAACTGGGACTGCACCGAAGCTACAGTGTGGTGTGGAGCTACTGTAATTAGCAAACTAAGCCCGGTTTCTGCTAACTAGGTCAACAATAACCAGTTACCCCACGAACATTTACACGAATAAACCGATCTTGTTCAGGATTAACAAATAAACACATCTAAATCCGGTCGAGTTTAGTTTGAACAACAGTTTGAAAAGAATAGATGACGATTTTAAGCCTGAGTGTTTGGAGAAACAAAACTTGTAGATGTTCCCATTAAAACATCAGGTCAAAAACACAAGACCAGACAAGGTGCAGCAGATTGATCTTCTCATGCAAAGTCAGTTTAGTAAAGTTTAATCCGAATTAAAGCTATATCTGTCTACAATTCCTGCATTCACCCCAGTAACAACACGTTACATACAACTTGATCAGGACAACGATTCTGAACGAAAGGAGCTCAGGAGGCACAAAATCTGATGAAAAAGTCTCTCTTATCAGGTCAGGCTGTCAGCAGCAGGTCTTACCTCTTCAGTGAAGAATGAATGACTGCATCAGCTGTGGCGCCGGCGCCAATCCTTATATCCGCATCTGTCTGCGGTCGCCACTGCGCATGCCCGTTCCCGGTTAACACAAACGCGCTAAATGTTCAAATCCGAGCGGTGATTATTGGAAACGGTCACCGCCGAATGAGGTGAATTTACTCCGCTCTGCTTCCTGGCGATGCGCTGTGAGCGTTAGGCACGATTCAGAGGCTTATTTACGATGTTTTAGCAAAGCCTGCGTTCATTTCTAACGGACACGGAAGCGCTGCGAAGTTTTGTGAAGCGAACAGCTGTTTCCGCTCGTCGCGGTTGAGTTTTAACGATTCGCCGGACGTTTAGGATCATCTACAGATCAGGAGGACACGTCTACGCAGCGGTTCCGTGGAGATTTACATGAGTTTTAAAACTGATACCGAAACTCCTTCCGTATACGGAGCCCGCCTGTGGGCGGGGTTTGTGACGTCGAGCCAATGAGAGGGTCGAGCGGTGATCACCGCGTGCTCAGTTTGAAAATGTAAACACAGCGATCACGTGGAGGGGGATGCTGTCAAACAGAGCTGCTGCTGAGACCAACTTTTCTTTCTGTTTTYAACCAAGAAAAGATGAATGAACTTTTTGAGTGAAACAATTAAATTTAAACAAGCAAATAAATAAATAAAAAATAAATAAATAAACAAATAAATGTTTAGCCTTGATTAAAAGAAACCATACCTTATACCAGTGGTTCCCAAACTTTTTATCTTCTGACCCACAAAATATCCATGGCAAAAACTTGTGACCCCAAATATTACTGGTCTGAGTACACA